AGTGACGGGGATTGCGGCTTAGAATCTGACAAAGAATCGGAGGAGGAAGAGTAGGTTAAATCTGTTCAAGTAGTAAGTTCTAGTCTAGTCACAATTGGATGTTCAGAGCTGTACTCTAGGAGGCAGTCTAGGTGGCGGGCTAGGCTAGGTACCACGTCTAAGCGTGGACCTAGCCTAACAGATACCATATCAGAAACAAAATGGCATGATGGAGATGGGTACAAATAGTCAAACCCTAACCTAGCCTACCAAATATATCAGCCCAATGTATCAAATATGTGCCTTGATATAGACACACTGTCACAATATGCTTACAGTGAGTCACTTAGGGCCATTTTTCGTGTTTGCCACCAAATCACATGGCGGGGCCACATACAACACCCTTCTTATTATAAAATTCAGGCTGCATTGACATAGGGGCAAGAGTGTGATAACATCATTGCCTCGCCACGCCCTGCACCATTATCAAAATTGTGATGTGAATGCATGAGCTATCCCAGTAAGAGCTCCAATGAAGGTTACTTGTCGTGCTGCCATTCCATGGTGTAACAGAAAATGACCATGCTTGCCAACATATCTCATCGACAGTTTGCTCTCATTTGACCCCGACCCCATGTTCTCATTCGTCGGTCTGTTCAACATTTTCTCGACAATGTGAGGCGTAGGAACTGGGTTTCTAACGACGATCGCATTACCTGGGATTGCGAATATATACATATATATGCCCTGATGACCTCCGTGCTATGCAAATGACACGCTGTTTGGTGTGTTTGCCCTTAGAGCTCGAGGTGCGATAGAACGAACATGAGGCGCTGTCTCTAAGAAATTTGTGTCCATATATTTCAAATAGTCGCCTAAGCAATGCCCCGAGCAGACCTCTTAGCATATACACCAAAACGAGCAGCTATGATGCGTTCATTGCGATGGCGCTGACATGTAATGTAAAGAATTTGGGCGGAGTCCAACTAGATAAGAGACTTGGTTATCGTTGTCACAAGAACCAGTTAATCTATTCAATAACACCGTCATCAAGTGATGCTGCTTAAGTTGAAATTTCCCTTGCTACGGATCGGACATGGCCTACCAATATGTGCTCTCGTATGGCAGGATAGGTGTTGAGTTCCGCCAGCATCAATCTTAGGTAAGTGGCGGCTTGAGAGGCAATTGTAGTATTCGACCAGAGGCAATGCTGATAGCCGTGTTGTTTTTTGTTAGGAAGTATGTGTTCATCTACCATTGTACCAAGCAGAGTCTTGCCAGGAGTGAGGCCAACCGCTACCGCATTCTCCCGGATATAGGACCCGCTGGTTAAAGGGTCCCCCGGGACTCTCTATAGGGGAGTGGGACTCTTGAATTGGTGCTGTTTTGTGAGGACCCCCCCTTTGCCCCTAATCATTATAAGTCCCCCCTTTTCTGTATACAGTAGTTTTTATAGCTATTATGCGTCATCTTTCACTGGCACAAATTCGAATTTTAACACCTTTTTTTTTGTCATATTGAATTCCGACACTTTATGTATGCCAGACTCAAACTCTGACGCGCCACTCATGCGGAATTTACAGACGATGGGTCTTTCTTCGTTACGATCATAACCCCCCCCCCCTCTCCGGGTGTAAACGAACAGTACACGGTAAATCCAATAAATTTGATAGACAAATAAGTAAACCCGAGTCTTAAAAAACTGCACGCCACATAGATGTTCACCCTAGCATTTTTTTTTTTTTTTTTTGATTTGTAGAAATTCCCCCGGGTCCTATATCTGGAAGAATACGGTATGTTTTATTGACATCCAAACTTCTTTTCTCATCACCATCTCATCCAACTGTACAATGCATATGCAGCGCCAATTCTGACATCTTATAACAACAACATCCATCAGAAATGCCGAAACAATGTCGTGCGTGCGGTAATTACTTTTCACAATGATGCTGCCTACGGAATCGTAGGCCCAAAAGGCACTCTAATTTTAGAGAGAGACTCTTACGGTAGTCACTTGACGAGGCGCAGGGCCCAAAATTGGTTTTGGGCCACTCTTGCTAATTAGGGGCCCCCAGTACCCTGACCCCTAGGGTAATTTTTTCCGTACACTGATGGCAGCAGGGTAAAACTACCCATACACTGATTGTATCAGGGTAATAATGTTGATACCCTGCAATCACAACAACTACACCCCCCTCGATCGATTGTTTATGTGGAGGGGGGGAGGGGAGGGGGGAAAGGGGGGGCTAACGAAATTGGCGAGAATTTCGCCTCCCTTCCCCCCAAGGGGGGAGACGAAATTGGCGAGAATTTGCCTCCCCTCCCCCCTCGATCGATTGTTGGGGGGGGGGGGGGGAAGACTATCGAAATTGGCGAGAAATTCGAAACCCCAGAAACTGTTTCCTGTAACAAGGGCACTGGCAACTCGATTCGCGAGAAAAATAGATTCGGTATCAGTGTACAAGTTGGCATCGTACCCAGATACAACCAGGGTAATAAAAAATCGTACCAGTGTAGTTGAAACAATGAACTTTTCACGCAAGGGTAAAAGTTTCCAGAGGCTGATTTGGCATGGGTAATTGGGAAAAAGCGGCCTATGGTCAGGGCAAAAAGGGTAAAATACCCTTGAAAAATAGGCCCTGACGAGGCGTCTATAACGGAAATGCACGAGATATTTTAGACAATCCAATGTTTGAATCAATGAAAGAAAGCAATTTCTGGTTGATTATGAAAGAAAGATGTAACCTCCTATCAAAGTCAAGACACTACCCTAACTATTTTGTGATAGATTAACAGTATTTGTGACTGAAATTAATACCGAGGCTGCTGTTACTGAGAACCGCATATTATCTCTGAATAACAGGCATGAGGAAATTGTATTGTCGTTTCTGAAGATTTTGAATTATGGCGGTGCGAAAGTAACTGGCATGTAGTTTATTTCTGGGAAAAACTCTGGAGATTGGAGTCCTACATTACGATGACACGAATACCCCTGAGGTGAGCGAGGAGCACTGGAAGTCATTCGGCTAAAAGCAGAGGCACTTGGTGGTCGAAACCACCACAGTGTTGATTTTCTGGGACGGGACTCGCTAAAGACTTGTTGAAGCACCATACTTGAAAGGCGCGTTTCTTCGGAGTGATAAAACTCGCTGCTGCTCGTTCGTATATCCGTTGCTCGCTGGTGCATGTTCCAGAGCCGGATTTCCACCAACGGCCAGAATCACACTGGACTTCGTTCCTTCCATCATCCCATTACACCTTGTTTCTCGATTTTCGGACAATCGGGAGCCCCGGCTACAGTGGGCACGTGTGCTTGGATTCAGCGGGCTGGTGCTTGCAACCAAAATGCACTTGAGGAGAACGGTAGACAACGGTTCATGAAATAAAACGTGCTTTTGCGTTCGGTTGCGTGCGGCAAAAGTGCTTATATGGTATGTTCTGGGACCAATTTGGATGCATTGATGTCAGTACAACCGGCTTGTCAATATGGCGAATGTCAGTGTGGCGCGAAACAGGGTGTACAGCACAATGATTCCACCAGCGAGAGAGGGAAGCCAGTCATTGGTGCAGTTTTCTTTGTTGCAGATTTTGCCAGAGAGAATGGAGGGCTTGAAAACCCTCTTCGTCCAGTTCGATTCGACATGAGGGGTCTGTTTCGTCTAATTCTGCTTGCCAGACCAGAAAATCCTCTAAACGCAGCTAATGGCAGGTCCCCCCCACCAACACACCCCAACCACCAAAATTTTCTCCGGAAAAGAAAAGAAGATAAAAAATATTCGAATGTGAGCCTCCCCTCCTCCAAACCTAGCACCAGAGCAGAGCACAAGCTGTGTTAGGGTTCATACTCCACCCAGTGTGGATTGTTTCTTGACTCCCAGTGCTGATTCGGCTGGCAGGCAGACCTTCTGTAGAGTTTTCAGTCAGGTGGGGGCCGCTCGTTTGTTATTGTTCACGTTTAGGTTGAAAGGCAAAAAAGTCGGCGACATGACAAAGGGAACTGTTCCGCTGCCCAGCTTTCGGGGGTGCGATGGTCCCCGAAGTCTGTTGGATGGCCGAATCTACGTCACCAGGTTCGGTGTGCTCCAAACCACTGTGGTCAGGCAACTCGAGCCTGAGCCGCCGGTACACCATTCATGCAAGTCTCGAGCACTGATCGGTAGGAGCAGCTGGCAACTGTGGCGCACGCGTCAGGTCCGTGGTGAGCAGGAGGAAGTTGATTGCACCTCTTCTCGCACGCCTGTCCGAAGTACAAAACAGGTGGGCGGATGCAGCAGATGCAATCGAACGTCAACTTCAAGGCTTCATCCACTCTGCACGCTTTTTGTTGATTGTTGTGTTTGTCAATTCACTGCACGCCGAGTAATAAGCAGAATGGAGAGCATCACTCATGGCACTCCGTCAACTTCAGTCACATTGTCTGCAGATTAAATAACACTCGTCTCCACCTTTCCAGTAAAATTACTCGCGTATTTTTAGTTTCAGTGGCGTTGTTAGGTTCCGACAGCAACGCGAATAGACCCACAGAAAAGCGAGGCGAGATGGACGACAGAGATCCGGTAGAAGATCTCGTGGGCGAGGCGGAGGGATATCCGAGCGCGCAAGTCGAAGCCTCCATTTTCGGATCCGAGCCGGAGCCGGAATACTGCAAGTACAGTACCGGCCACATACGAGAGGAAATAGGGTTTGATGGTCGATATCTCAACTTTCGTCCCGATAGCGCCAAAATTGGACAGATTCAGTCCTTCGGGTGTTTGTTACTCGTTGAAGAAAGCTCGTTTCGTATCCTCGCGCTTAGTCGGAACGCGGTCGAGATGTTGGAGATTGACGCGCTTCCGGGAAACCCGGACTGGAAAGGCGCGATAGGCCTCGATGCGCGTAGTCTGTTTAAACTAACGAGCGTGGCGACAATCGAGCGAGCTTGCAGTGCGACGGATCTGAACATCGTGTGCCCTATCCTCGTTAGCTCGCACCGATCCGCTAACCCGTTTTACGCTATAATGAGACGATGCGAGGAAGGCTTAATGATCGATTTCGAGCCGTTGAAATTCGACCCGCCGTCAGGCCCCGTTACAGGAGCGCTCGCTTCTCACAAACTCGCTGCGCGAGCCGTGGCGAGATTGAAGTCGCTTCCCGTCGGCGATGTGCGGTTGCTGTGTAACACCGTCGTGGAGGAGATTGGCGAAATGACTGGTTACGATCGCATCATGGTGTACAAGTTTCACGAAGACGAGCACGGCGAAGTGCTGGCGGAGTTTCTCAACAACCAGAAGATCGAATCGTATCTCGGATTGCATTATCCCGCGACAGACATTCCCATGGTGGGTCGTCCTGAGTCCCCCTGACACAGCCGTGCTCACTCGAGGTATACTGTTCTCTGCCCTATACATTACACGCGAAGAGCCGGTTCTTGCCGATTTGAGGAGAGAGGAGACCAGAACCGAATTCCAAAACCGAGTCATTCCGTGCGGATTAGACGTGGATTGCTCCACGTGGCATGCAGCAAGGTTGGCAGAATGGTATGTGACGTGGAGGCCGCCACTGGTGGCACGTGCTCCGCACGCGACGAAGGGAAGGGGTTTGTTTCAAGTAGAAATTGGCATGCATTATTTGAAGTGAATTGAATGCGGACGCAACAGGCTAACAACAGGCATGTAGGAGAGATGGGACCTCCCTTTCGCAGTCCTGATGGAAAGGAAGGGGCATTGCGGGGAAAGGACCTGCCTGACTGGTTCCGCTCCATCATTCGTTTGGCCTGACCCCGACTAGGAATGACTGAGACTGACCGAGTGACTGAGACTGAGACTGACTGAGGTGACTGAAACTGACTGAGGAGAGACTGACTGAGATTCCAGTGACTGACACTGACCGAGATGGACTGAGTAACTGAGATGGACTGACTGATACGAACTGAGGGTTACCAAGACTGACAGAGTGACTGCGAGTGACTGAGTGGCTGCTACCGTCCAAGAGTGACTGACATTGACTGACATTGACTGACATTGACTGAGATTGACTGAGATTGACTTAGATTGACTCAGACTGACAGAGTGATTGAGTCTGGCCGGTAGGTGGTGCGGAGCCGTCCATGCAATGAGACCCTAAAACTATGAGAGTATGGGGATGAGCGTGTGCTGTGGTGGCGTGGCCCTCTAGATTCATGAGCTTGTTATAAACGCTGTGGTGGCATGGCGTGACTGTATGGAATCATGACTGTATGGAGACATGGATGGCTCTGTGGTGGAGTCATGTCTTCACTGTTTCACGAATGGGACTGTCGAGTGGCTGTGATTGACCAAGTCACTGAGAATGAGACTGGTGGAGAGAATGAGAGACCGAGACTGACCGAGACTGACTGAGACTGACCGAGACTGACCGAGACTGACTGAGACTGACTGAGACTGACCGAGACTGACTGAGACTGACCGAGACTGACTGAGACTGACTGAGACTGACCGAGACTGACTGAGACTGACTGAGACACGTCCAGACCATCATGTATCTGTCTCAAGCGATCTTTGTATTCAGCACGACCTGGGGAGTCTAGAACCAGCTGTAGGCATGAACCTGGACGGCAAGGCGTTTATCTAAGGCGTATTATCACCGCCCTTCCCTTGGTTGGTTTCCCGTTCCCCCTACTTCCTTCCAGATGACTCCGTGCACATTCAGGAGGAATTGCGTGCGCATGATTGTGGACAGAAACGAGCTTTCCCCGCCCTGTCTTTTCCCTTCTCCTTTGGTTGCTTCTCTTCCTCCCTTCTTTTCCCCTCCCACTAGGTCGCAGATGGCGCGCCACACGTTCATGGAGAACCGGGTGTGCATGATGGTGGACAGCAAGGCGCCCTGTCTTAGGCCTCTTACCCCTCCCCTTCCCTTTCCCCATCCCCCCTTTTCTCCCAGATGGCGCGCCACACGTTCATGGAGAACCGGGTGTGCATGATGGTGGACAGCAAGGCGCCCTGTCTTAGGCCTCTTACCCCTCCCCTTCCCTTTCCCCATCCCCCCTTTTCTCCCAGATGGCGCGCCACACGTTCATGGAGAACCGTGTGCGAATGATAGTGGACAGCAAGGCGGCGGGGGTGGACGTTCTGCCCGTTCCCCTCCCCCCCACCTATCCTCTCCGCTTCCCTTGGTTGAGTATTATTTCCTTGCCTCCGCCACCCGTCATCTAGATGGCGCGTCAGACATTCATGGAGAACCGCGTGCGCATGATAGTGGACAGCAAGGCGCCCAGTCTTATGCCCCTACCCCTCCACGTCCCTCGTCGAACCTCCCTCACTCCCCCAGATGGCGCGTCGCACGTTCATGAAGAACCGGGTGCGCATGATAGTGGACAGCAAGGTGGGGGGGTTGGATGTGTTGCAGCAGGGCGCGCTGCCTCTCCTCCTCGCTGCTTCTCATCCGCCCTTCCTCCCTCCCGTCCCACATACAGATGGCACGGCGCACATTCATGGAGAACAGGGTGCGAATGATAGTGGACAGCAAGGCGGCGGGGGTGGACGTGTTGCATCAGGGCGCGCTGCCGGGGGGCCTGTCCCTGGCGCACAGCACGGTGCGCATGGTGCGGTCGTGCCACCGCGAGTACATGGCCAACATGGGCACCCTCGCGTCTCTCGTGCTAGCCATCACCGTCAGCACCGGGTGAGTGAATGCATGGGTGAGTGGGTGGGTGAGTGGGCGAGTCGTGTGTGGAATAAGGGAGAAAATCTGGCTAGAAATGGGGGTGTTGTGGGGGTGTGAAGACAGTTGGAGTGTTGGGGGCCTGTCTGGCGCACAGCACGGTGCGCATGGTGCGATCATCATGCCACCGCGGGTACATGGCCAACATGGGCACACTCGCGTCTCTCGTGCTAGCCATCACCGTCAGCACGGGGTGAGCGAGTGGGTGGTTGAGTGGGTTAATGACTGACTTAGTGAGTGAGTGAGTGGGGAAGTGAGTGACTGAGTGACTGAGTGACATGGAAGGAGGTGGGCTAACATGGGCACAGTCGACTCGTTTGTCCTCGCCATCACAATCAGCACCAGGGAGTGAGTGTGTGAGTGCGTGTGTGAGCGAGCGAGCAAGTCAGTGAATGATTGATTGAGTGAGTGAGTGAGTGATTGAGTGAGGGAGGGAGTGAGTGAATGATTGAGGGCATGGATAATCATGCTTGTTTGTTTGAAAGTCTACTGGAAATGAGGCCGTTTTTGTCTCTCCCATCCCCTTCCCCTCAGAAGTTTGCACTGCCTCTCTGCTTTTATTGTACCTTCCCTCCCTCCCTCCCTCCCTCCCTCCCTCCCTCCCTCCCTCCCTCCCTCCCTCCCTCCCTCCCTCCCTCCCCCCCTCCCTCCTCTCTGCCCCTTTCTTTCCTCCCTTGCGCCTGCTGCATGCACAGCACACTGTTGCTCCGCATGCCTCCGCCTCCCTCTCATGTCCCATCCATGAGTCCACGTTCTGAGTCGACTCAAGAAGTCGTACGCCTCCCTCCTTTCATCATCTGCTCCTCCTTTCTCTTTCCAACATCCCACACCACACCACAGGGAAGCAGGGGCGGCAGCAGCTGCAGCAGCGGCGCCACCCAATGACGTCGCCGGGGCTGGGAAGGCGGTTCGGGCCGAGCCTGGGCGGCGGCTATGGGGGCTGGTGGTGTGCCATCACTGCTCGCCGTGCATGGTGCCCTACCCCACTCGCTCCGCCTGCGAGTTTCTTGTGCAGGTGACCCCCTGGTCTTCACCTTGGCTATCATTAGATTCCTTAGCTACTGCCTTCCCCCGCTTGCTTGTCTCCTCCTCTACGGTCCCCTCCCAGCCCTTCCACTCCCAACCCTTCCACGCCCAACCTTGGCTGGTGGTGTGTCACCAGTGCTCGCCTTGCATGGTGCCCTACCCCACCCGCTCCGCCTGCGAATTCGTCGTCCAGGTTCGCCCCTTCCATCCTGCTTGTCTCCTCCTTTTCCACCTTCCACCCCCAACCCGTCCACTCCCACCTCTTCTATCCCCAACGCTGGTGTCACCACTGCTCGCCCTGCATGGTGCCCTACCCCACCCTCTCTGCCTGCGAGTTCCTCGTCCAGGTGATGACACCCTTTTCGTCCTGCTTGGCCCCCTCCTTTCCCCTCCCTTCTCCCTCTCCCCTCCTCTCTTTCTGCCGTGTACCTCGCTTACTCCCGTCTTCCCTCCTCATTCTCTCCATCCTTTCTCCACCTTTCTCTCCCCACCCCGCCCCTTCCCACCCCATCCCTTCCCACCCCGCCCCTTCCCACCCCATCCCTTCCCACCCCATCCCTTCCCACCCCATCCCTTCCCACCCCGTCCCTCCCCACCCCGTCCCTTCCCACCCCATCCCTTCCCACCCCGCCCCTTCCCACCCCATCCCTTCCCACCCCATCCCTTCTCACCCCATCCCTTCCCACCCCGTCCCTTCCCACCCCGTCACTCCCAACCCCTTCCCTTCTCACGCCGTCACTTCCAACCCCTTCCCTTCCCACCTCGTCCGCTCCCAGCTTACCAACGAAATGGGTCTAGCATACGCCCAATGGTCCCTCCCGCCCTTTCATTGACCGCCCGCATCCTCTGCTTCAACTGCTGACTGCTGGGCGAAGGTGCTGGGGAATCAGCTGAAGGCGAAGTGGCTATTGAGTCGACTCAAAAGTCAAGTCACCTCGTTACAATGGCACACGGCGCATCCTCTGCTTCGACTGCTGACCGCTGGACGAAGATGCTGGCAAACCATATGTTTCCCTTCCCCGGCCCTCCTTCCTTATTGACTCGCTCTGCTGTCCTCCCGTCTTTTTCCATTCTGTCCCACACGACACCCGCCCCTCTCTCCCCTGGCCACTCCACAGGTGTTTGCGGTGCAGCTGAGCAAGGAGATGGGCCTGGCGAATCAGTTCAAGGCGAAGCACAGAGCAGATTCCCTGGGGCCCGCCTCATGAACACCCCTCCTCCGTCCCTCTCCTTCCCCGTACTACCTCACACCTCCTCTACCCCCTCCTGCCTCCTCTCGCTTCACAGGTGTTTGCGGTGCAGCTGAGCAAGGAAATGGACCTGGCGAATCAGCTCAAAGCAAAGCACGCGCTGAAGATGCAGACGCTGCTGTGCGACATGCTCATGCGCGAGCCGCCTGTTGCCCTCGTCACCAAGACACCCAACATCAGCGACCTCGTGCACTGCGATGGGGCAGCTTTATTGTACAACGGGCGGTGCTGGCGACTAGGGTCCACACCGTCTGAGCCTCAGGTGGGTGTGATGGCTGTGCGATAGAGAGTGTGGTTGTGTGGCCTGTAGGGGGAGTCAGAGAGGCCCCCGGGTCACCAAGACACCCAACATCAGCGACCTCGTGCACTGTGATGGTGCTGCTCTGCTGTACAATGGGCATTGTTGGAGACTTGGGTCCACTCCCTCTGAGCCCCAGGTGGGTGTAGTGGCTGTGCTATAAGATGTGTGCTCTGGGGTGCCTGTTGTACCCTATAGGGGGAGGGGACTCACACACGTCCACTCGTCACCAAGACGACCAGCATCAGCGACCTCGTGCACTGTGAGGGGGCTGCTCTGCTCTACAATGGCCGCTGCTGGCGATTAGGATCCACACCCTCTGAGCCCCAGGTGAGTGTAGTGTGTGTCCTTTGGTGCCTCATGTGAGCTCAGAGCCCCCTGGCACCCTCGTCACCAAGAACGCCCAACTTCGGCGAGCGCTGTTGGTGCCCTGTGGGGACTCAGACGTCCCTGCCGCCGGCGCCAGGTGCTGGACACTGCCGAGTGGCTGCCCTGCTGCTGACCTTTGAGTCGGCCCAGAGGTCACGGCGTGTCTCCACCACCCACTCGCGCTCTCCCACTCCATGCCTCCGTTTCTCCCCACTCACTCACTGCCAATCGTCGCCAGGTGCTGAGCATGGGGGAGTGGCTGCTGCTGGCGCACCCCAGCCACTCACCACCCATGTGTTGAGAGCTTCCTATTTTCCTTGTGTCCCGATCTCACGTGCACTCATTGCACTGCAATGCCATGCCGCCACCACGTGCTCAGCATCACAGAGGAGTGGCTGCTGGCGCACCACAGCCACCCACCTGACATGTTGAAATCACTTTTGAGTATTCTCAGAAGTGTTCTTCCTTGTGTCCCGCTCCTCAAGTGCGCTCACTGCAATGCCATGCCACCACCACGTGCTCAGCATCACAGAGGAGTGGCTGCTGGCGCACCACAGCCACTCACCACCCATGTGCTAAGGCGTCCATGGCACACGCACGCTGTCCCATTATTGTTTCCGTGCCTTCCCCGCCCACTCACATGCCATGCCACAACCAGGTGTTGAACATAGCGGAGTGGCTGCTGACTGACACACACGCCACAGCGACTCCACAGGGTTCAGCACCGACTCGCTGCTCAACGCCGGCTACCCCCACCCACATGCATTCACCTCCCTCCCTTTCCTGCCTTCCCCACTCATGCACACTGCATTGCCACCACCAGGTGCTAAACACAGCAGAGCAGTGGCTGCTGCGGACGCATCACACATGTGTTTGAGGCGCCTCAAAGCACCAGGTCTTCCTTCCCCACCCACCCACCTGCAACCACCAGGTGCTGAACATAGCAGAGTGGCTGCTGACCCACCACAGCGACTCCACAGGGTTCAGCACCGACTCGCTGCTCAACGCCGGCTACCCCCACGCGTCTGACTTGGGCGAGGAGGTGTGCGGGCTCATAGCCGTCAAGTTCAGCGATAAAGACTTCCTCATGTGGTGCGTTCCGCAATACGTTGCTCATGTGGTGTGTTTATGGTTTTGTTGCTCATACGACCCGTTGCACGTGGGCGGCCCAACGCGCTACACGCACGCACCTCCGTCAAGGCCTTCCTCCTTGCCCACACGCATGCCGTCTCTCTCTCAACTTCCCCCCACCCCCCCCTCCCCACATGCCTCCATCCATCAACCCCCAGGTTCTGAGCGCATCCAGCCAGGAACTCTTTCCCCTGCCCAACCTTCCCTCCTTCTCCCCCCCCGGTCCTCTTCTGTAGGTTCCGGGCGCATGCAGCGAAGGAGGTGAAGTGGGGAGGGGAGAAGCACGATCCGCTAGACGTGGACGACCCCACACGCATGCACCCTCGCACCTCCTTCAAGGCCTTCCTCGAGACGGTGCACATGCGCTCTCAGCCCTGGGAGGATGTTGAAATGGACGCCGTTCACAGCCTGCAGTTGATCCTTCGGTCCGCGCTGCAGGTGAGCTAACTAGAGCTACATACGGAAGTGAAAGGAGTCCTTCAAGGCCTTCCTCGAGCCGAGGTGGTTCACATGCGCTCGCAGCCCCGGGAGGACGTTGAGATGTACGCCGTTCACAGCCTGCAGTTGATCCTGCGCTCTGCTCTCCAGGTGATCTGTGTTGCTGTGCTTCTAGCCTGTGGATTGGGGCAACTGGTAACCACATGGAGGGCGTTGAAGGGGGTCCTTCAAGGCCTTCCTCGAGTCGAGATGGTGCACATGCGCTCGCAGCCCTGGTAGGATGTCGAAATAGACGCCGTACGCAGCCTGCAGTTGATCCTGCGATCTGCTCTACAGGTGAGCTCTGTGCCGCTATGCTCCTTCCTTGGCTGTGGATTGGGGTAACTGGTAACCACATGTAGGGAACAAAGGAGTCCTTCAAGGCGGGCCTTCCTTGAGATGGTGCACATGCTCTCACAGATAGCCCTGGGAGGATGTCGAGATGGACGCTGTTCACAGCCTGCTGCAGCTCATCCTTCGGTCCGCGCTGCACGTGGGTGGGCTGTGCTGCCGTGCTAACTGGTAACCACATGCGGGTCACTTTTGAGAATTCTCAAAAGTGATTTCCACGTGGGTGGGCTGTGGTGCCGTGCTAACTGGTAGCCACATGCGGGTCGGGTGCTGCTTTGAGAGACCGAGGGACATCCATACCTCTTGTGCCTGTCCTCTTTCCCTGGCTGATCTCTCTCGTCACTTTTCCCCACCTCCATCCCCCTCTCCTCTCAGGAGCATGACGAGGTGAAGCGGCGGCAGCTGATGCTAGCACAGGTGGCGGAGCTGCAGCTGCAGAGCATGGGGGAGATCAACCAGACGGTGTCCCATGCTTGGTGCCTTGTGTGTGCCTCTACCCCTGACTGCCTCCCTCCTCCATCCCGTCTCTGCCTCCCCTCTCCCCTCTCCCCAGGAGCATGACGAGGTGAAGCGGAGGCAGCTGATGCTAGCACAGGTGGCGGAGCTGCGGCTGCAGAGCATGGGAGAGACGAGATCAACCAGGTGGCCAATGAGACCGTGCCCCGTGCTTATTACTGTGAGCCGTATACCTGGCTGGTTCCCTCCCCCGTCCCTTCCCTGCCACCCCTGTCTCCTCTCAGGAGCATGACGAGGTGAAGAGGAGGCAGTTGATGCTGGCGAGAGTGGCAGAGCTGAGGCTGCAGAGCATGGACGAGATGAACCAGGTGGCCAACGAGACTGCGCCCCGTGCTTGTTGCACTGTTCATTGTGCCCTCACCCCTGGCTGGCCCCCTCCTCTGTCCCTTCCGTTCCACCCCTGTCTTCCCACAGGAGCACGGTGAGGTAAAGCAGCGTCAATTGATGCTAGTGCGAGTGGCGGAGCTGCGGCTGCAGAGCATGGACGAGATGAACCAGGTGGCCAACGAGACCGTGCCCCGTGCTTGTTGCCGTGTGCCCTTACCGTTGACCCCCCACAGGAGCATGACGAGGTGAAGCGCAGACAGCTGATGCTAGCGCGAGTTGCAGAGCTGCGGCTGCAGAGCATGGACGAGATCAACCAGGTGGCGAATGAGACGGTGCGCATCATTGAGACCGCCACCGTGCCCATCCTGGGCGTCAACCGCAACGGCCAGATCAACGGCTGGAACATGCAGATTGCCAAGCTCACCGGTGAGCAGTTTACATCGGGTTCAAGGCAAGGGGTTTTGAGGGTTTGGGGTTTGAGGGTTTGGGGTTTGAGGGTTTGGGGTTTGAGGGTTCGAGGTTTGAGGGTTTTGGGGTTTGGGGTTTGAGGGTTTGGGTTTTAAGGGTTTGGGGTTTGAGGTTTGAGGGAGGCTTGCAGGTTGTCAGCTGACATGTGGGTGGAGCATGCAGATCGCCATCCACTTCTCCTCCCTCTTCTCCTCCCACCATGTGTTGCCCCCCCATCTTCTCTGCCCTGCACTCACTCTCACTTGCCCGTTGTAGGCATACCAGCAGTGGAGGAGGCGATGGGGCGGTCGTTTCTGCAGGAGCTGGTGCTTGAGTTGACTCTCGTGCTCCCTCCCCTTCCCTTTCCCCCTTCCTCCTGTGCCCCTCTGCACTGCACTCGCTCTCTCTTGCCCGATGCAGGTGTACCAGTGGAGGAGGCGATGGGGCGCTCGTTCCTGCAGGAGCTGGTGGCGGAGGAGAGCAAGGCGGACACACAGAGACTGCTTGTATCGGTGAGTGGGTCTTGGGCAGAGGAGTGGTCGCACACTGTCAATGAGTGCCTGCGTGGTGCTGGTATGCGTGTGTTTGGTGCTGGCATGTGTGTGCTCCGCCCTATTTTCTTCTCATTCTCCTCTTCTACCACTCTCCCATAATCCCATCTTTTCCTCCCTCCGATAACAGTCGTTACAAGGCTGAGAGGAGTCGGATGTTGAAATCCGCCTTAAGGTGTGGCGCAGCGGGGTGCCAGCGGGCGTGCTGATCATGCTTTGCCTGCCCTACTGCCTTCCGGTCTTCCCATTTGCAGTCATTACAAGGCAGGGAAGAATCGGACGTGGAGATCCGCCTCAAGGTGTGGCGCAGCGGAGTGCCGGCGGGGGTGCTGATCATGCTGGTGAACAGCTGTGCCAACCGGGACATTCACAACCAGATCGTGGGCGTGTGCCTCGTGGGGCAGGATATCACCACTCAGAAGATTGTTATGGATCGGTGAGGAATGGGAAGGAATGGAGGAGGACGGGGGGAGAGGGAGGAGTGGTAGCAGGGATGCTTATATATTGCTTTTGGCTTGGGTGTGTGTCTCTGGTGTGGGGCAAGACATCACCACTCAGAGAATTGGCATGGACCAGTGAGGGGCCTGCTGGATCGATTAGGAAAGGGAAGGGAGGGAGGAGTGGCATATAGGGATGCTGCTCACACACAGTGCTTGTGGGTGGTCGTGTGTCTCTGTGCTGTGGGGCAGGACATCACCACTCAAAGGATCGCCATGGACCAGCGAGGGGCCTTTTGGTGTTAATGAAGGGGGCAGGGTGTTGAAAGGCGTTGGTATGTTGAGGAGTTGTTTTCCTGTCCGCTCCCCCTTCTCCCCCCCTCCCTCTCCTCCTCTCCCCCCCCCCAGGTACATCCGCTGTGAAGGTGACTACCGCACGAGAGTGCATTCCCCAAACCCCACTCATCCCGCCCGTATTCGGAATGGATGAGTACGGCATCTGCAGCGAGTGGAGTGGAACGCCGCTGGGGGTGGAACACCGCAGTGCAGTTGGTGGCTGGGATATGTTGAGACCTCTTTGCCCTTGCTTAACCCTCCCCCTTCCTCCCACCCCCCCGGTCCCCTTTCCCCTCCCCACCCACAGATACATCCGGTGCGAAGGTGACTACCGCACCATAGTCCACTCCCCCAACCCGCTCATCCCGCCCATCTTTGACATGGACGAATACGGCATCTGCAGCGAGTGGAACACTGCAGAGGGTGGGATGTGATTTGTTGGCACCTCTGTGCCTTGCTCCCCTTTCCATCTCCCCCTCCTTCTCTTCTCCCAGGTACATTCGCTGCGAAGGAGACTACAGAACAATCGTGCATTCCCCCAACCCGCTCATCCCGCCCATCTTCGGAATGGACGAGTACGGCATCTGCAGCGAGTGGAACACGGGCATGAGCCGCCTCACGGGGCTGGGGCGCGGGGACGTGCTGGGCAGGCTGCTGCTGGGGGAGGTGTTTGGGCTCGACATGGCCATGCTGATGCTGAGGGATGAGGATGCCATGACTGAGCTGGAGATTGTGGTGAACTGCGCGATGGAGGGGCATGAGGACACCAGCAACCACCCATTTTCGTTCTTTGCAAGAGATGGCAAGCTGCAGGTGAGAGGGTTGGAGCAGGTGAGGGGGCTAGTAAATACCAGCAACCACCACAATAGGCTTGGAAGCTGCTGGTGGTGGTGAGGAATGTGGCATGTCTTTGGAATGAGTGGTTGGTTGGTTGGTGGTTACCGTTGTGCTGTGCAATAAGGATGCGATGACTGACTTGGAGATTGTGGTTGTGGTCAACTGCGCCATGGACGGCCATGGGGACATGAGTAATCTTCCTTCCTCCTCCTTTGCGAGAGACGGAAAGATGCAGGTGAAAGTGGTTAGGTTGGAGCAGGTAGTAGGCGAAAAGGGGATTGGAAGCTTTTGCGGGTGAGGAGATCTGGCATTGTGCTGTGGACCTTTCACCTCTATTTCTCCTGCCCTCTCCCACTGTCTTCCCCTGATCCTCTCCCTTCCTTCCACACACAAACAGGAGGTGCTCCTAACGGTGAGCAAGCGCACGGACGTGGACGGGCGCATAACGGGCGTCTTCTGCTTCCTGCACTCCATGAACCGCGAGGTGCAGGAGGCCCTTAAAGCCCAGGCCGCCGCCGAGACTGCCGCGCAGGCCCGCATAGCGCAATCAGACGTGGCCAGAGAAAGCCTCCGGGCGCCCCTTGACGGTCTAGCCTTCATCCGCCTGTCTCTGCAGCGGTCAGCCAGCCTCTCGCCCGACCAGGTTCAGCTGCTTGAAACCGCCGCTGCGCTGGAAGAGCAGATGAGAACAATTCTGGCCGATATGGCGGATTTGAATGCGGTGGAGGAGGGTTATTTGGACGTGCAGAGGGTTGAATTCTCCCTGGTCTCGGTGCTGAACGCATCGCTAAGCCAGGCGTCGGGAGCAGCAATCGCCAAGGGGCAACAACTGGTCTGCTCAGTACCCAGCCCTATGAGAGTGCGAGTATTCGGCGATCCCACACGGCTACAACAAGTGCTCGCCACGTGTCTCCGCACGGCTGTCGAGCACACGCCGCCGACTGGTTGGATCGAGCTGAAGCTAGAAGCGCCGATGAGAGGAGCGGCTGATGTGCCGCCTCCGCAGGGGCACCCGTCGGCTGAACGGTTCAGATTCACCGTCGCACACTCGGGGGATGGGGTGCCGGGGCCGCTGGTGCAGGTGCTGGTGGGGAGGGGGGGCGTGGCAGCGACGGGGTTGCAGGGCATGGCACTGCGGTTGTGTCGGCGGTTGGTGCATCTTCTGGGGGGTGAATTGGGTTACGCGTTTGAGAGCGGGCGGTGCTGTTTTAGACTGGACTTGCAGCTGCCTGTGAAGCACAAGGCTGAAGCTACGGCTGGTAGCAGAGCGTGAAAAGGGGAGAGGGCGGGGGTTGGTTGCAACAGGGTTAGAGGGCATGGCGCTGAGGTTGTGTCGGCGCTTGGTGCGTCTGCTGGGCGGGGGGGGGGGGGGGGGGGGGGGGGGGGGGAATGGGATATGCGTTTGAGAGCGGGCGGTGTTGCTTCAGACTGGATTTACAACTACCGGATAAGCACAAGGCAGAGGCAATGGCTGGTAGCAGAGCGTGAGAAGGGTGAAGGGGGCGCTGGTGCAGGTGCTGGTGGGGAGGGGGGCCGTGGCTGCAACGGGGTTGCAGGGCATGGCTCTGCGGTGTGTCGGCGGTTGGTGCATCTTCTGGGTGGCAAGCCGGGGTGCGCATTTGTGAGTGGTCGGTTCTGCTTTAGATTGGACCTGCAGCTATTGGTTAACCACAAGGTGGAGGCAACGGCAGGGAGCAGAGCATGAGAATGGGGAGGGGGTGAGGGAGGCATGTGTGTGTTTGTGTCTGCCTCTGTGTCTGTGTTCTCGTGTGTCTGTGTGTGTGGGTGGGTGGGGAGGGGGGGTGGGTGTTCGTGCGTGTGTGTGTGTGTGTGGTGCTTGGGTCTACCAGCAGCCGCTTGGGAAGCACAAGTTGGAGGCCACAGCTGGGATCAGGGCGTGGATAGCAAGACTTAGTGAGGGCGGTGTCAGTTCACGCTCACAATGTGCACTGCTCAGGGTTCAAAAGGACGGATTTTGCAGCCGCTCCCACGGAGGAGGTTCGAGTGAAGGAGAGGAAGGAGGAGAGGAGGGAGAGGGAGGAGATGGATGGGGACACAAGGAAGGAGGGAGGCAGGAAGTGGAATGTACAGGAAGTAGGGATAGCAGGCACTGGTGGTGCGGTGTGGAGGAGAAAGGTGGGAGGAGTGCTGACAGGAGAGAAGGCACGGCAGGGCTGGTAGTGGGGGCCCTGACCTGAGGCGATTCTTGCCTCTCTTTTGGGTCTGTATCTTCACACGACTTATAAGAAGGGTCATGAAGATACCGTATACACAGCAGGGCAGTGTGAGTGAGTCAGGGTGCGCGTGGATGCTCCTGCATGCATAGCAAGGCAGAGGAGGGGGATGAGAGGAGGGGGATGAGCGTTGAGAACTCGCAAAACGTGGGTGTTTTTCCATTCTATTCAGGCGGCAATGTTTCTGCATCCGCCTGCGCTCATGCTACCCGGCTGCCTTCCATCCAACCCAACGCCCATCCAGAGATTGTGGCAAAAGCAGTTACCGTATGGTTCACTGTTGGTGTCCATTTTTGGGGTTGCTCCATACAGTTTTGTGGCACGTGCAGTGATGGGTCAATGAGAATGTATGTGCGCTTCTTGTGTGTACAGTAAAGCCAGTTTATATAACATCACCTCATAGGTACATTCAATATAACATTCAATATAACCCTAAGTGGGTAAGAATATATGTAATGCAGCGACTGCCCACTGGCATGGCTGCAAGGTGTGATGTAAAGAATCAGTTTCGTAATGTGCGGCATCACTAAATTTACGGATTCCGTTTAAAAACAATATGATGTGATACTGGTACCATACCATGCACAAATACGCAGGCAGTGCAATCGAGTCAGCAAGCTGACCGCAGGCAAGAAAAAAACTAAAACCCACTCGAAAGGCATGCCATCCGAGGGAGCCACAACCCTAAAAATTTAGGGTTGAGGCTCCCGAATGGCATGCCGTAAGCCATGGGGTTTATTTTTTTTGCCCGCGGTCAGCTTGCTGAATCCGTCGGTAGCGTCGTCAAGCGGAAACCAAGCGCTACCGACGCTACCAAGTGCAATATATTGGTGCATCCCTTCCTCCCAGCGCACCCCCACATGCTCCATGCTAGCAGATGTACAGTACCGTACGCATCTAATCTACCTAGCTACAGCTGTCAAATTATATATGTGTTACGTATGTGTAGGCTGTAGTGGGGTAGCTAATATGGGGTATAGCCCCTTGAGGGTTTCATACTTGTACCCAACTTTCTCCTAGTTCATTCATTCCTGCTCGTTGATTCTGACATGGTTTTAGAGCATTAGGTTCGTAGGACCGTTTTTTTCGGGCCCACCATTACCTGCTGTTTTGATCCCGTGGATTTGCGCTGTTCGTCTCCAGCTCCGCGAGCGGTTCGAGTCGGACTTTCCTATCCTGCGTCTGCACTCTGACAGAGGTGGTGAGTTCTCCTCCGACCTCTTGCGAGCCTTATGTGAGGAGCACGGTATCCGCCAGTCGTTCACGCTTCCGGCCTCTTCGCAGCACAATGGGGTTGCTGAGCGCCGCATTGGCTTAGTCATGGAGGTCGCTCGTACCTCCATGATCCATGTGGCTGCCCCCCATTTTCTGTGGCCGTTTACGGTCCGGTACGCTGCGCATCAGCTCAAACTCTGGCCCCGTGTCTCCGTGCCGGAGACTTCGCCCATACTACGTTGGACGGGGGAGGTTGGCGATGCGTCGCGATTCCGGGTCTGGGGTGCTCGTGCCTTTGTCTGCGATACCATTGCGGACAAGCTCTCCCCTCGCGCCATTCCCTGCGTCTTCCTTGGCTTTCCCCTTGACGCGCCTGGCTGGTAGTTTTACGACTCTGCCTCGCGCTGTGTCTTTGCGTCTCAGGACGTCACCTTTGACGAGCTGGTCCCCTTTTTCCGTCTATTTCCTTACCGCACCGCCCCTCTCCCTCCCCCACCGCTCTTTCTCGCTCCAGGTCCTCCCCAGGTAGACCCCCTCCCCGCTCCAGGTCCTGCTCCTTCAGGTGTGTCTCAGGTAGACCCTCCTCCCTGACTGAGCCGGTTGAGGTCACAGGTGACTCTGGTCCTGCTAGGGGTGGTCCTGCTCGGGGTGCTGCTTCTGGGGGTGCTGAGCTTGGGGGTGCGGAGCCTGGGGGGTGCTGAGCCTGGGGGTGCGGAGACTGGGGGTGCTGAGCCTGGGGGTGCGGAGCCTGGGGGTGCTGAGCCTGTGGGTGAGGAGTCTGGGGGTGCTGAGCCTGGGGGTGCGGAGTCTGGGGGTGCTGCGCCTGGGGGCACTGAGGCGCCTGGTGAGCAGTCTCCTTGGAGTGGCCGCCTCCGTAGTCGCTCCACTGGTGCCTCGCCGCAGCGCCCTCATTGGCGTGTCCCTCTCTCCCCTCAGCAGCTGCGTGAGTGGTACGTTAGCCATCAGGGTCGCGCTGCTGGAGCTGGGGGCCCTGCTGCGGGAGGCACTGGCGTTGGAGGTTCTAGAGCTGGTAACTCTTCTACTGGAGGCGTTTCTACTGGAGTTACTGGAGCTGCTGGTCCCGGAGGTGCTCGTACTGGAGGTACTGGAGCTGCTAGGGCTGGAGGTACTACTGTCTCTGGAGCTGCTGGCGGTTCGGGAGCTGTTGGAGGTGCTGGCGCTGGAGGTTCTAGAGCTGCTGGCGGTGCTCGCGCTAGAGGCGCTGGAGCTGGAGGTTCTGGAGCTGCTGGAGGTGCTGGAGCGGCTGGTACTAGTGTCACTGCACAGCCGCGACTGTTCTTCGTTCCGCCGCCGCCGTCGTCTCTGCCACCGCCTGACTCCGTGCTTCGCCAGGTTCTTAGCCTCCCGTCTTCTACTGGTCTTCTGTTACAGCCTGGCTCACCGTTGCCTGCTCCTTCTTCTTACACTGAGCAGCCAGGAGGTCTTGCTGAGCGTCATGAGCCTGCGTCTCGTCCTGTCTCGCCTGTTCGCACTATCCGCGCTGGTCATACTGGTCGTCGTGTTCCTCGTGAGCGTCCGCCGGCTGTCCCCGGCACGCACCTCATGGCCCTTCGTTCTTCCTCTCCTCCGCAGCGTGTTCCCCCGCCGTCCCCTCCTGCGTCTTCTCTGTCTGACGTTCCCGACCCTGAGCCTGACCGCGTTCGTGCTGCTCACCCTACTGTCACGCGTCTGCTTGCCACTGTTGTCACTGACCCTTCGTTTGAGTCCAGTGCTGCGTCTTCTTTAGTCGCTGAGCTTGTTGCCTTTGCTGCTGCCTGTCGTCTAGACTACGCTGCTAGTCTTGTTACCGAGTCTGAGTCTGTGTGTCCTCCGTCCATCGGGGGTGAGTGTGCTCTTGGCACGGACGTCCTTGAGGACAGGCAGGAGGGCTTTGAGTGTCTTGTGCCTGTTGTACCTCATCTCATGTCCTCACTGCTTGCCCCTGAGGGAGACCCGGATGCACCAGACATCCTGATTCCGCGTTCTTACACTAAGGTGATCGTGGGTCCTTACTCCTCTCAGTGGCAGACAGCCATGGATGCAGAGATGGCATCCTGGAAGTCCACAGTGCTGTTCAGGATCCGTCACTTTGAGAGCTTATGACGAACTCAATTCTCAAACAAACGCAAATCCGCTTGGTAGGATTGTGCGCCTTAGGCTTAGCTACCATCTCCAAGTTGAATCAGTCGTTAAGATGGTCTATATAGTGAGAACCAAGTAAAAACGTCCAGCAGCCGCATGACTAGAATGGTAGAGGAAGTACAAGCATTGGAGCATAGGAAGTTGGAGTTGGGGACTCTAAGAGAACCATGAGAGGGAAGGGGTTCTCCAAGAGCTAGGGAAGGATGGTAGGAACCTTCATAGTAGCAAGGATGCAACCCTCATCATGAGGTCCTTGAGGTGTCACATGCAAAATCCAATCTAGTTGGATTTTGCCTAGGTGTTGCAACATTTGCAACCCATGCTAGAAACTTCTAGCCACCCCAATCCAAAAGTCAAAGTTGCCTTCCCTAACCACCCAACCAAAGATCCCTTTATAGCCATGTCCCAAGAAATCACCCAAATTAGATATAACCCCAAAAGGTAATAAGAAATCCAAGTCTTGGAAATCTTGTAACTTGGGCGATCTTGGTCGGAATAAGGCGATCTTGGTATCGTTGGAAAGCTCTGGATTTCTCCTGCATGATCAAGCATTTAAAATTGGAGAAAAACACAGAGATGATAATATCCAACAGCCATGCACAATGACATATGCTCATGCAAACAATGCACACATGAATAGCACGAGCACTCAGCAGGACGTTAGGATGACATGCACCCAGAATGACGTGCATCCAACACACAGGCACTTACGTCAATGAGGTTCCCCCTCCTGGGGCGAACATCGTCGATGGCATGTGGATTTTCAGGGTGAAGCGGCCGCCGGGTTCTCCGCCTGTCTTCAAGGCTCGTTACGTTGCACGAGGCTTCAGTCAGCGACAGGGAGTTGACTTCTTCCAGACCTTCTCCCCCACCCCGAAGATGACCACTCTTCGGGTGCTGCTGCATGTTGCCGCTCAGCGTGACTACGAGCTTCACTCTCTGGACTTCAGCACAGCCTTCTTACAGGGCAGCCTGCACGAGGAGATCTGGCTGCGCCGCCCACCTGGCTTCACTGGGTCGTTCCCTGCAGGTACCCAGTGGAGCCTCCGGCGGCCAGTCTATGTCGGAATCTCTCTGCTGTCTGTGGATACTTCTATCTCTCTCCTCTCCCTTA